GGGGGGGGCACCTCGTAAAATGATCCTTGTACGCGCGGAGAGGGGGGGGGGGGTGGCCGATCTTGCTCCTGGTGTTGACACTTCTATGTATTCTTAGGGTTACGTTGAAATTGAAATCTACCCCCAGAAATACCTGTCTGTGTCCTCTGCATGGGGCAACCGGCGTAAAAATAGGAACAAGAGCTACGTTTATCCTAGGTGGATAGGTGGATGTCTGCTCTAAGAAAGAACTTGGAAAATAAGGACATGGCCTCGGTTTGAGGCAGCAACCAATAAGCGTCGAGCCTCACGCAACAGCAAGCTGTTCTTAAAGTGGTGGCCCGGTCTGTAGTACTCCGTACATACTTCTTCCTCTTCTACTTTAATTAAATGATTTTTTTCCGCGTCAAGCAAGAGTTAAACGAACGGCAGACCTTGCACGGAGACCACTCGTGACGAGACAACAGGAGTATCCCGAGGGAAGAAGCGACCGTTTCACCTTGGTACGTGCGCGCGCGCGTGTCCTGCCTCCACTTTCGTTAACCTTCGCAACAAACAGTTCAAACTGGACAACGTGACCAGAGTACTGGAGGTACAAGACCAAACGCTGAAGGCGGTGATGGAGAGACCGGGCAGGGTCAACATTCCTTCCGGAGCCCCGAGCATTCGGGACTGGTACGTCGAGTGGGTCGGGGTCGCGACCCAGATATGCCACCACCTCGGCATCGGGACAAGCAACGGAATCCCCTCCTTCCCCGGAGAGCAGCCGCGGATGGTCGGGCTGGCGGGGCCCGGCGGAGCGGGGAAGTCGACCGTCGCCTCGATGGTTGTCACCCAGGTGGACGTGCAGGCGTTCTTCCGCGGCAGGGTGCTCTGGCTCTCGGTGGGGAAGGGAGCCAAGGACCGCCTGCCGGCGCTTATGTTCGAGCTCGCGAACAGGGTGCGGGAGACGGTGCTGCAGAAGATGGCCAGGCGGCCCCGGGAGGCGACCGTCGGCATCATCCGAGGACGGGGCGGCCTTCATCCGCGAGGAGGCGGGCAAGGGCGACACGCGCTTCCTGGTGGTAGCCGACGACGTCTGGGACGCGGAGGTGCTGGGGGAGCTCAGGAGAGCCGGGGCGTGGGTCATCTACACCACCCGCAAGACCGAACTGTTCCCGGGAACCCCGGCGATAAGGCTGGAGGAGGTCCTGGAGGAGGAGGCGGAGATGGTGCGTTACGGTTACGTTTTGTGTTGTTGTAGGCATTCGTCCGATGTGTGCTCCGTCCTAACAGTACCATGGAATGGACTTTGATTTCTTTGGCGCATGGGACGTACCCACATGCTGAGAGTTTCGTTACTTGACTACTGCGTGATACATAATCCCGCGGGGTAGCGTGGGGTTCTGTGCATCTGCGGGGCCCCGAGTTGAATAGCGAGGGTACCCCAACCTTGCCAAGCATTCCTTCCTGCGCATAGCGATGTTCAAGGCGAAAAATCGCATCCACGACTGGAGACCTCCTCCCACATCCACAAGCCACCTTCGAGACTCACAGGAGTACTACCTTTCAAGCGCGTCCGTTCATGGATCCATCGACCTCGGTACATGCTGATCGAGAGGCTTTTGCTCTGTAGCTGGTAGTGCGTCGCCTTCGCACCCTGTGTTTTCTCTCCCTTTGACTGCTCTCTCTCTCGTGGATATTCAGGGATCAGAAGTGATGACTTGAGTTCTCATCGACACTACAACTCAAACGGCCACCCCAAACCATCCTGCCAAACCATCGCCTGTCCATCCGTCACAGATGCTTCGGCGGGCGGACGACCTTGGCGAGCAAGCCCGCCTCCCCCCGGCGGCGTACGAGCTGATGAAGCGGTGCGACTTCGCCGTGCTGGACCTGGCCTTGGTCGGTCTGTGGGGCAACATCCGTCGCAGAAGCTGCGAGAGCGCGTGGCGAGCGGCGTTGGACAGCATCATAGAGACCCAGCGCGCCGGCGGCGACGGCGGGCAGCTGCTCCCGTGGCGAGCGGCGGTCCTCCGGGCTGGGCTCGGCGTGCTCGCGAGCGACAACCCCCAGACGACGGAGCTCTACTACGCCCTGGCCCTGCTGCCGACGGGGCTAGCGTTCCCCCCGCAGGTCGCCTTGATCCTGCTGTACGGGGACGACTTCTCCGAGAGCGCCCTGAAGGCGGCGGAGGCCGTCCTGGGCACCCTCGAACGCCTGTCGATCCACGTGGACTTCGTCCTCGACCGCCCCCTGGCAAAGCACTACACGCGGGACACGGCGCTGCCCCGGTGGCGACGTTACATCTCGAGCGTGAGGGCCCTCAACACCTACTCGAGCGCCTGGCTCGACAAGGTCTGGGAGAAACTCTCGAAGGTCGAGGGGGAGGGCTTTGTCCGTAGCCCGTACAACGCGGCGCTGAACGCGATAATGGACGACTCGGAAGGCGAGCTCCTGGAGGCCCTCCGGAGGGCCGCGGAGTTTCACTTCTGCCGGGAGGACTGGTCGGAGGCCTTCGACAAGTACTCCAACCTGTTGCTGATCAAGGAGCAGACCGCCGGCCCCCACCACCCCGACGTGGCGAAAATCCTGCACAACCTGGGGATGTGCGCTTGCGAGGTCGGGCGAGAAAAGGAGACCGAGGGGTATCTCCGACGGGCCCTGACGATCCAGGAGGAAAAGCTAGCCCCCGACGACCCACACATCACGAGCACCCTGCACTCCCTCGGGGTGTACACCCGTAAATCCGGGAAGGTCGAGGAGGCCGAGGGCTTCATCCGGCGAGCCCTTGACATCAGGAAGGGGAAGCTTTGCACCGACCCGCTGATCTTGGGGCGCACGCTGCACTCCCTCGGCGTCGGCGCCTACGATGCGGTGCGGCTGGAGGAGGCCGAGGATCTGCTCCTGCGAGCGCTGGCCACGAGGGAAGGGGTGCTGGGCAGCGTGCACCTGGAAGTGGCGGACACGCTGCACGTCCTGGGCGGGTGCGCGTTGGAGGCCGGGCGGATGGAGGACGCCGAAAAGCTGTACCTGCGAGCGCTCGTCATCAGGGAGGAGAAGCTTGGAAGGGACCACCCGGACGTCTCGCGAACCCTCCGGAACCTCGGGATATGCTCCGTGCACAAGGCGAGGCTGTCGGAAGAGACTGCCGGGGTGGTTCGTCGAACGCTTGCGATTGTGTAGGAAAGAAAAAGCGTATCGCCGATCACCCAACCAAGCGTAGCCAAGCACGGTAGGTAATGCCCCGAGTTGTTCCGCCGAGTGCAGTGCTGGCCCGCTAGAAGTAAATACCCAACCAAGTGTAGCCAAGCACGGGAATGCCCGAAGTTATACCGTCGAGAACAGTTCCGGCCCCCTAAATAGAAGTAAATGTCCTTTGTATTTGAGCAAGGCTTTAACAGCTTGCAAGGTGTCTCACTCAATGATTGAGCACAATTATTTTTTAGCCCACTGTGAAATTGCCCGCCTTTTTTTTTTAGCCCGCCATAGGGTTCAGAACCAGAACCTATTTTTCACCACAACGCTTCATCCCTCATCCCGCGCCTTAGCATGCTAGTGATGGACTCGACCCCCGGAGCATACAGCCACATGCAACATCAGCACGGCAGAAGCACAACCCTTGCAGACGAGGTTCAAGCAAAGGGCGGGCCACCGTTATGAGTGCAGCACCGGTGGGAGACCGCTCGAAACATCAGGCGCCACTCGGCGAGAACGAGAAGTCGGGGTTCCGCCGCGTCTTTCATCGGGGGACAGCTGCGGGAGCGACAGTGATGGTAAGCACTCTAAAGCCACATATACTTGTGGGCATTCAATCTCAGCGTAGGTAGACAACCAGTCCATTGTTCCGCTTCGTTGGTTACAGACCTGGTAGGAGTTGACTTGATACCCACACCATATCGCATATCCAACGAAACAAACTCGAACTAGGTAGGAGCTACAGGCAAGTACTAATATACTGTAGACAGACACGTAACACCACGTGCACGACCCCGGTAGCTCCGATGCTCTAGTGGTTACCGTCGTAATCCTGCTGCCAGCAGGTTCGACGCTCTCTCTCTCTCTCCCCCCCCCGCCCCCTCTCTCTCTCTCTGGAGGTGGAAGAATTTTCATTTGGCCGCGGAAAACGTAGTACTGTACTTTGAGTAGTTGCTGAACACTCGTTCCGGTCTCCGTTCGTGCACCGTCTCCGTTTGTGGACAAATAGCACTTCCAATAAATACTTCGAGCTCACGTTCGACGAGGGAAAAGAGACGGCAAAATCCTTCTCGCGATGCAAAATAAGGCAAGAACCGCAGGAGGAAAAAACGTTGAATGAATCGGCAGCAGACCCATCGTAGAAACTTCCAACAGCAGATCGTCTCCCACCAATCACACATCGGCTTTGTAAGACATTTTGTAAGACAGAGACAGATGATCAGGCGAATGGCACGACGCTCGGGGAGAATCCCCCAAATCCTCTTGAAAAACAGACGCAGCACAGCAGCAGCACACGTAGACAGCGCACGAGACAACCAGCACAGCCGCATACAAGACTGCTGTAGGCCAAGGGCGGCCAAAGGCACAAATCATAGAGGGCGTTGGGTGTGACTCTTAGAGCTCGTTGCCTGCTGTTGGCAGCACAAGCGAGGGACGACGCAAGTCAACCTGCGGTCTGTCTTCATCACCTGCCGATCTTTGGAGCTTCCCACACAGAGGCACCCCCACGACACCGACAACGAGATGTGCACACTGCTGTAGGTCAAGGGCAGCCAAAGACACACACATGGCAGGCATCGGAAACGATTGTATGGCCCGAGACACAAGTCCAGTCTATCTGTGGTCTGTCTTCGTCTGCAGGCTAATCTTTGCTTGCACAACAGACGCACCCCCGACACACAGACAAGTGAGACGTATACTGCAGGCGGAGGCCAAATACACGCATCGTAGGAGGCGTCGGGAGCGATTTTTAGGGCCCGTTGCTCGCTGCTACCAGCGTAAGCGAGGAAAGCAAGTGCACAGCCACGCACAGCAGCAGCAGCTGCTGCTGCTGCAGCTACGTGTAGTAGCTGATGATGAGAGCTCGTCCATACCAGCGCTCTCATTCATCCCCGGGCTGCTAGACAGCAGACATCTGACTGACTGGGGGTGTCGGGTGAGGTGTGAGGGTGTCCAGTCGTGGCCTCTGTGATGGCGTAGGCTCCATCCACATCTATCTGCGCTTGCTTTGATGTCTCTCTCCGCCACTTCTTTTCGCGCTAGGCACACATAGAACGAAGAAGCCGAGGCGAAGGACTTGGTACATCAGTCCGATGCTGATACCCGTGCAGAAACAATTCACACGGTACAGGGGGTGGCCTTAGCCGTCCGGAGTGGCGCTTGCAATATACTGAGGTAGAGGTACACACCGCGCGACGCGCCTACGCATTCTACCCCTTTTGTTTAGCTCCCTTCGTTTCGCTCTCGGTATGTGTTACAATATGGAAACGTTAGCACATGGCCAGTATGAGTCAATGTTCACGGTGCCCCTATCTCCGCCGTGGTGGTTCGACGGGCTCCGCTGAGTACAAGTCTTTCCCGTAAAGGTACTCCCCCCCTTCTTTATCTGAGCCAGGTCCGGTGAGAACCCGGCGTGCTCCGCCCCGGCTTTGTAGGGATGCAGGTCAATGATTTAACGACTATAATACGGTATGCACGACTACGAGTACATCCCCAACCCTCCAAGCAGCGAAAGTCATCCTGGGAAGCCCCAAGCGCGCAAATAATGCAGCCGTCAGGGCAGAACTGGCGATCCAATCGTTACGATCGGGAAGAGATGCAAGGAAGCTGACATGCAGTACCGCATGTGCGGTACGGGAGAGAAGAGGTTGCCGAGAATAGTCTGGGAGGCGACGTGGGCAAATAAAAAGAGGGGTAGACAACCCACGGAGTGGGTCAAGGTTGTAGAGGACGTATTGAAGGGGTTCGTTATTTTTTTCTCTATGCGTCGTCATGTTTTTGCGTGATTCAACCTGACCTCGGCGTATCTGTGGCGTTTGAAGTGTATCTTAGATTCGCCTTGGCACGCTGTACGGCTTCTTTAATACGATGAAAAATGAACTTTCTTGCTTTTAACGCTATCCACTTTGGCTTACTTCGTGTGATGCTTGTGTCTCATGTACGCAATCCAGGAAACAGACCATTTTTTCTTCGCCACCTCCCACCGTCTGCAGCCATGTTCCGGTGATTACCGAAGGAGCATGCCGCCATGTCGAAGAGGCGGCTGTTTTCCCTCCTGGCGAGCGTCAGGGGCGCCGTAGCATGGCGAGGGAGGGGGTAGGAGGCTCGGCGGGCCGCGGTGCTGGACGTTAAGAGGTGTGCTTCCCAAGTTGGGGGTCCACTGTGCGTTAGTCAATGGCAAAGGAAGGCTCATGATGAGAGGTCTTTGGGAAGGTGGCGGTGGGATGCGATTCCTTCTTGAAGCCCACCGATTTCTAGTGTTGCTCGTTGACTTATCGAAGACCGATCAGGCGGCGCAGATGACAGCCCCGTTTGACATCTCCGCGCTCGCCGCGCACACGAGGTAGGTTAAGGGCGGTGATATATATTTACATGTATATATTTTCCGAGGTGGTCTCGTCTTTGTGTGTCCGTTTATTGACATGGTATATGATAATTTTGTTGCTGCCGCTGCCGCTGCTGTTGTTGCTGCTCCTGCTGCTTCTGGTGGTGATGGTATGTTCAGGAGCGGAGCGTCCAGCCTGGATTTCAGGAGCTCGGCAGTACACGGACCGGAGCAGGATGCCGCCGCCACCGACGCCGCCAGTGCTGCTGATAGCGGCAGCGCCGGCGAAGGAAACGAGGGCGATAGCGGCGTAGGGCAGGTGAGACTGGTTGGGCAGAATGTATCTGAAAGTTTAGTTGTCTGGCGGCGGGGCACGGAGAAGCATACACACACCGTCAAGACATGCTGTCCATCTTTGAGCCAGACCCTGAGTGAGGAGACTCTGAATTAACGAGCGCTTGCGATTCGACACCAGCACCGGATGCGTGCTACTCCATCGATGATTATCTCGGCTCTCTCATCGTGTAAAAACCTCCACCCTGATCGTCATCATGCCCTCCCCTCCCCACATCAATCAGTCCAAGTCGAAGGGGCGTCGCAACGGCGGCGGGGGAGGTTCTCTTGGGTGCTGCTATCGTCAACGGAGGGGGGAAGCGGTGCGAGTTCCCCTGTTTTTTCTGAGAGGCACCAACTACGGTGAGGAAAAATATTTGCAGAGCGTGTTGTGGAATTCATTTTCTTTTGGTATGCGTGCACTATCCCTCTGTGTTTCTTCCTCTGTTCTTGCGACCTTATCCGTCCCGCAGACGTAGCTGCTTGTGTAAACACCTAGAGTCCAGTCAGCATTGCATGCACGCTGCGCCGAGAGGTATCGTTTGGTTCATGTTCACCTGTTTTATGTGATGTGTGATCCCCGCTGAGTCATCCTGAAAAATATCCCGAACAATGTACCGGTTGGATGAGGCAGATACACACAAAAACACAGACACGACAACGCGTGTCCTTTCACGATTGTTAACCCTGCTTCAAGATTCCGCGGCGTCTTTTGATTGGGCAGCCGGCCGGTTAGCACGGTCGATGCTTGCTATGGAAACCCGCACACACGTGTACCACAGCATGTTGGAGTGTTTGTTGGCAACTCTTGCTGTTTGTATTTCTGGTGTGTTTCGTTCTTCGGTCGTGCGTGTCTTCCAGCTGGGTCGACGCGGTGTTTTATGAACGAATTACTGATGCACGACGCCGTTCGTGACGCTCGTGCCCCCTGTCCCTGCCTGTCCTTCTCGCACACACCCCTCAACGACATGGGTACCTCCCCTACTCCAAGTACGTGTCGCCGCCGATCCTTCTCGAGCACCCCGACCTTCATCTATGCCACTCGTAACCGCCGTCGTGCCCCCCCCGCCCCTGCCAGGAGCGAGGGCTGGCGCTCCATCCCCGACGCCGTCCCCCCGGGGCACCTGGAAGGAGAAGCGGCACGTTCACCTTCGGCAACGGTGATAGGTTGGCGGCGGCTATCGACGAAGGTTCGCGGGGAGAGGCTAGTGGCAGGATAAGTTGGTCGCCTGGAGCTGGATCGCAAATCGTCTGGTTGGGGGAGGGAGCGGATTAACCTGGATCGTTGCACCTCCGGTGCGTCCGTCGTCCGCTCTCTTTCTGGGAGAGA